ACTAAAAAGAAGAAGAAGGAGAAGGAGGAGGAGAAATAGGAGGAGAGGAAATTAAACTCAAAATAAGCAGAAGAAAAGAAATAACAAAGAGTATAAATCAATAAAATACAAAACAGAAAAACAAAATGGTGAATCAATGAAACTAAAGTGGGTTCTTTGAATAAATAACACTGACATATCTCTAGCCAGGCTGATTAGGAAAAAATAAAGAAGACACAAATTACTAACACCAGGAATGTGGGACCCTACAGCTATTTGAAGAACAATAAAGGAGTATCATGAGCAATTTAGTGCTAATAAATAAGACAACTTAGATGAACTGGACAAATTCCTTAAAAGACACAAACTATCAAAATTCATTCAAGAAAAACAGATCAAAGCCCAAGAGTCCAGAATATCCCCATATCTGTTAAAGAAACTGAATTTAAAATAAAGACCAACAGAAACTGTTCAGCTGAGCCTAACCCAGTTGCCAACCACAGAACTGGTTGTTGGTTTGTCACTACATTTTTGTGTGGTTTGTTATGCAGCAAAGGGTATTACTAACTATTTTTATTCCTTATCTTCATGAAAACATTTATTTTCTCTCCAGCATTCATTCAAATATTCTCTCTTCCAAGAAAATTTCCCCACATCCCTCTCACCTTGCTGCATCCCAAGCATAGCTGGTTCCTCCTTTCTCTATGCTTCTCTTCATGGTGTACGTGTCTTTTTTAGGCCGGTTTGGCTTAAAATCACCTGGGCTTATGTCTATCCCTCTTCCCCTCTAAGACTATGTATTTCTCTGGGCAAGAGCCATGTTTTCTTTAGCCCTACATCCTTCACATTTAGCACAGTGTCTGGTGTAATTTATGCACTCATAAATATTTATGAAATATTAAGGAAGTGAATGAGATAATAGATGCAAAATGAAAAAATGAATGATTAAACAAAGTGACTAATTGGAATAACTGAAAAAAATTGTTATATCTAACATTCATCTAGAGTGTATAATCTGTTAGTCACTGTTCTAAGTATTTTTAAAAATTCATTGAGTGCCTGCTACGTGCCAGATACTATGCTCAATGTTTTACATTCATTGTTTTACTGAATCCTATATAAGATTCTTGAGAGTTAATCAATGTTATTCTTATTTTTGTCCTACGTTTTCTTTAAATATAAAAAAGACAATCTATGACCACTATATATCTACTAGAATGGCCAAAATCCAGAACACTGACAACACCAAATGCTGACAAGGATGTGGAGCAACAGGAACTCTCATTCATTGCTGGTGGGAATGCAAAATGGTATGGCCATTATTGTTTTAATTTGCATTTCCCTGATGACATATATGGAGCATCTTTTCATATGCTTATTTGCCATCTGTATCTCTTCTCTGCTGAGGTGTTTGTTAAGGTCTTTGGCCTATTTTTTAAATCAGGTTGTTTTCCTACTGAGCTTTAAGAGTTCTTTGTATATTTTGGATAACAATCCTTTATCAGATATGTCATTTGCAAATATTTTCTACTAGTCTGTGGCTTATCTTTTCGTACTTTTGATAGTGTTTCTATATGAGAAATTTTTAATTTTTTGAAGTCCAGCTTATTAATTCTTTTATGGATTGTATCTTTGGTGTCGTATCTAAAAAGTTGTTGTCAAACCTAAGGTAATCTAGATTTTCTCTTATGTTATCTTCTATGAGTGTTATAGTTTTGCATTTTACACTTAGGTCTGTGATTCATTTTGAGTTGATTTTTGTGAAGGGTATAAGTTCTGTGGCTAGATTCATTATTTTTCATATCAATGTCCAGTTGTTCCAGCACCCTTTGTTGAAAAAATCGTCGTTGCTCCATTGTATTGCCTTTGCTCCTTTGTCAAAGTTCAGTTGGCGTATTTATGTGGGGCTCTTTCTGGGCTCTCTATTCCATTCCATTGATTTATTTGTCTATTCTTTTGCCAATATCACAGTTTTGGTTACCATAGCTTTACGGTAAATCTTGAAGTTGAATAGTGTCAGTCTTCTGATGTTGTTCTTCTTAAATATTCTGTTGGCTGTCCTAGGATTTTTGCTTCTCCATATAAACTTTAGAATCAGTTTGTTGATATCCACAAAATAACTCAATGGAATTTTTATTGAGATTGCCTTGAATCTGTAGATCAAGTTGGGAAGACCTGATATCCTGACAATATTGAGTCTTCCTATCCATGAACATGGAATGCCTGTCCTATATTTGGTGCTTTGATTTTTTTTAATCAGTTTTGCAGTTTTCCTTTCATAAATCTTGTACATATTTTCTTAGAATTATACCTATTTCACTCGTATAGGTGGTAAACAGTATTATGGGTTTTGGTTTTTTTTTTTCAAATTCTACCTGTTCACTGGTGATATATAAGAAAACGATTGACTTTGTATAGTAACCTTAAAGTCTGCAACCTTGCTATATTTCCTTTCTTCCACATGGAAGTCTAGTGAGGGCTGAAGTTGGGTATCTCCCTTCCCCAGGTCAGTTAGGCTCTGAAAAAACCCCAGCAGGTTTGGCTCTGATTAAACAGTTTATCCTGAAGGTAGACCTTGTTAAAAACAGAATGCTCTGAGATATTTCAAAATAGCTGCTTTCCCCTTACCCATGCCTGAAGCATGTGGGGATTTTTCTCTGATCTTGACTGTGAGAATATAATAGGGCTCCTGGAGGTAAAACTGAAAAAAAGTGTGGAGGCTTCTCTCTATGACTGAGTTTTTAACTCTCAGATTTGACCACAGTTCAGATTTCCCTTTGCCAGCACTGATTCTCATGGAGGTTGCTGCTCATGGGTTTCTGCTCCTATAAGTTGTGATTCTCTGTATTCTCCTGTCAGCCTCTCCAATTCGGGGGCTGAAATTTACTCTATGACTTCACTTCTCTTATAGTTCTCAGAAAAGTCGTTGATTTTTCAATTTGTTCAACTTTTTATTTGTTATCAGGACAGAGTGGTAACCTCCAAGCTTCTTACAGGCCAGGCTGGAAAACAGAAATCTGTTCTAAGCATTTTATAAGTGTTTATTTAACCTCTAGACACTACCTTGAGGAAAGAATGAATTTTATCTCTACTTTATAAATGAGGGAACTGAGACTTAGAGAGTTAATTAGGTCACAGGAGAGTTAGTAAATGCCAGCACTGGTACCCAGGTAGACGGGCTCTAGTGCCTAACCTTTATGTTATGCAGTACTACCTACACAAATTCTAAGAAGGTACCCGGTGATAAATGTCATCACAGGTTTACAAAGAGACAAGGAAGCAAAAGATGCAGAAACTCAAGGAAGTCTGTCTCTGCTATGGCACCCAGCCCATGAGAGGCATTCTTGGATGCCTCCTTCCACCCTACTTTTCTGTAATGCTTAGTCATTGGCTTTTGCATTTCTATACTGAGAAAGAGCCATCAGCAGGAGATCTAAGAATCCCTCTTTCCAGAAGCTGCCTTCACCCACCCTGCTTCTGGATCTAGGCCACTTCTCTTCCCAAATTTGGTTGCACCTGCCTCAGAAGCCAGCCTCACACAGCTAGAGTCAACCAGCGTCTCCGGAAGCCTTCACAGTAGTAGGGCTCTTCCTGCCATTATGTCATTTCTCCTCCCAGCAACCTTCAAAGGTGGACATTATTTACGCACCTTGTACCAATGGGGAAACAGAGGCTTAGGGCCGGTTCTTCTCTCCAGTCTCTGCTCTCGTACTAGCTTTAACATACCTTTATGATAACCTACAGTACTCTCTTGCAGTTATTTGTTTATCTGTCAGTGATCACCAATCTACAGGACGGAAACATAGGCAAATGTGCATAAAATGATTTATTGATGTCATATTATAATATATAATATGTTCAGTGACATTACATAATAAGTTCAATGTGTTTGACTTCTTGAACACCATAATTCGTTGTGCTATGCAAAACTGCCATGAAATTGGAGTGTTAACACAGCAATTTCATTAATCCTGTATGCTTCCTCAGATGATCTGTTTCTCTTATTTTCATTGAATAAACCTGCACCTATAGCATGTTTCAGAAGATGTAATCAAGGGGATTCGATCTGAATGCTCAACCTGAAGCTGGAAAGGCAGGTGGATGGGGACTGGGAAAAGCTGAACACTGACTGGCCAGAGTTAATTTCAATTTGGTGGAACAAAGCAGGGGAAGTGGCCCTGTGGCAGATACTTTCCAAAAATAGCCATAGTAATAGCTCTGATTCCATATGCTCTTCCAGACTCAATCAAAAGATTGAATCTAATTTCTTCCTTTCTCAAAGGGTTGTCCTTTGAGACTGACTTGATGAACAGAATGCAGCAGAAATGATGCTATGTGTCTTCTGATAGATCATAAAAAACGCCATGACTTCTGCCTGGCTCACTCTCTCAGGAAACTCTCCTCGGAACCCAGCCTCTATGTTGTGAGGAAGCCCAGGGCACATGGAGAGGCCTCATGTAAGTGTGCCAGCCAAAAGCCCAGCTAAGATTCCTGCCACCAGCCAGAAAAGACCACCAACCATGTGAGTAAATAAGCTTGGAGTAGCTTTAGCCCCAAACATTGAGTTACATTGAGTCTTCGAGCAGAGGCCTCAGAGATTGTGGCGCAGAGGCAAGCCATTCTCACCATGCCCTGTCTGAAATCTTCACTTATAGGAACAGTAAATGGATGTTTTACATCGCTAAATTTGGGCATAGTTTGCTGTACATCAATAGTAACTGGAATAAGCTCCAATACATGTCAACTTGGTGAATAATTTCTCAGTGTCACTCATATCTCTCTATTATTTCCAGGGTTATCAATGTCTATGTGAGCATTATGCACAGGCGTTAAAGCCAATTATAGCCTTTTTATCTAAATATCATTTTATTGTTGTTCTCCACTGCATTTGGCTAGTGCCTGTTTATTGGGGAGGCAGGCATTCTCTCTACCCAGGGCAAGGACAACCCTTGTGATTCTCTTTAAGAATAGGGTTTTCTCTTTATGATGCTCCCTCATAGTCCATGATGTACTTGCTCGTCATGAAGGAAGAGAAGTGGGAGACTCCAGGTAACTCCAGAGGAAAGAATGTGAACTGAGGTAAAGGGGCTTAACTGCCCATCTGGTGACTCTCAGGTCAACCCCTTCCCAAAGCAATCCTCTGTAAATATCCATGCATCCATCAGTCATCTCAGCATCTACTCAGTCAATCACAACCATCTGGAGCACCTTCTATGTGTCAGGCACATAGAAGGGGAGCCAGACAGAAGCAGGTAAACAAACAAATAAAATACTGAAAGACTGTGATAAGTGCAATGAATGAAAGACCCAGGTGTTAGCCTAGATGGATAATAGGCTACCTTCCCCTGTGGCCAAGGAAGGCCTCTCTGAGGAGAAAGTCTTGTCTTTCCACTGAGCCCTAAATGAGGCAAGCATGTTTGCAAACAATGGAAACCAACTCTGGCTGGATCAAGGAGAGGAAAAATATTGAAAGGACATTAGGAAACTCACAGAGTAAGTGGAGAAGCTGGAGGACCAGGTTTAGAGAGTGGGCAGGAGCGAAGGGTGGCTATGCAGCCAGCATCACTGTCAAAATTGCATCACAGAACCCAGGACTTCGTTGCTTGACCTAATAACAATATGGCACTAGAATCCATTTTGGCCACCAGAACTATCACCATTGTCCCCCAGAATAGAGTCTCCATTGTCTCTGCTTCTTCTTACCACCAGCTTCCAATTAAAAATTCCAAATGAGACCACGTGCTTGGCTGAGCCTAAATGTTGCTCTTGCTGCAACAAAGTCTGGGGACTTTGAATAAGATACCTGGATCTGCAGCAGCCATCTTAGGACTATGAAGCAACAAGCATAAAGAAGAAAAGGCAACAGCCATGGAGAGCAGAACAGAAAGCTTGAAAGAACTAGATTCTTCACGATACTGCTGAGCTGCTATACCAGATTAAAGACTGGTCAATTCTGGATATTTTAATAAATAAATAATAAAGGTCTTTAGAATTTAAACCACTACAGGCATATCTTGTTTTATTGTGCTTCATTTTATTGTTTCACAGATGTTGCATTCTTTACCAATTGAAAGCACGACCCTCTACTCACAAGATTACAGCTTTATTGTGATACTCACTTTATTGTGGTGGTCTGGAACTGAACCTGAAATATCTCTAAGGTATGTCTGTGTTGTCAGAGATTTTAGTGCTTGCAGCAAAAGCGTTTTTATCTATTAAAAAAGGAAAGAAACACTTGCTCAAGTAATTCTTATCTAAAGTGACTGTGCTCTAATGCACTTGCATAGCATCCAGATGTATCGAAGCAGTCCACCGAACATACTTGATGAATTCTGCCAACACAGGAACCCTGGTTTAGAGGAGCAAACTCCAGTCTGCTCCATTTTCTTGCTCCTCCTCTGAGTCATAACTTCTCATCTGCAAAACTAAATGTGATAGTGAGTATCAAATAGCTAACAGTGCCTGGACACATAAACAAGATAAATAATATTACTTAGTGCACCAAACTGCCTGGGGATTCTGGCTCGGCATCTCAACTGACTGTATGACTTTGGGCAAATTACTGAAACTCTCTATACCTCAGTTTCTTCATTTGTACAATGCAGACAATAATGGTGCCCACCTCATAGAGTTGTGATGATCAGTAAGTTAATCATGTTGAGCACTCAAAACAGTGCCTGGCAGAGAGCACGTGTTCAGTAAAGGTTAGCTTTAGTTATTATTCCCAGGGTCAAGCATTGATCAAAGCACCATCTTGGACAAAGAGGTTCCCCACTCTACCTTACAGCACCAGGATTTGAGAGTACCAGGGAGGACACTACCATTCTGCCTGGGGGTAATTGGGAAGACTTTTAAAGGAGGTGAGATTTGATTTCCCTTTCGGTCAGAAGTGGTTAATCAGAGTTCATGGCAGCAAGAGAGACCAAGGCTGAGCCTCAGTTCAGAGCTCTCAGGGTTTGCCTAGAGCAGAGGAGAGGCCCATGTCTCTGGGAATCGCATGGCTAGACACTGAGAGCTGCAGCCTGCGTTAAGGACAAAAGACCCAAGCCTGCTGCAATCTCAAAGATAACCAACAGAGGGAGACCTAGACCAGGACCAGCCTCCAGAATTTAGCAATAAGCCAAGGGCAGACTCAGGAAACCAGATGATTTCAATGTGCACTCAAGACAGAACCAGCACCCTACGGAATACATTAAAAGCCCCTGGGAAGCTTGTTATTACTGCATGTATTAATCCAACATGAGAGGAGGTTGAGGAGTGGAGTAGAACACAGATGTTTATGACACTCCAAATCCCTTGGCCTCACCTGTCACTTGTCCCAGTCACTACTTCATTCTGGATTTGACTCTGGCATGTGACAGTACTTTCTCTCGTAACTCCACTTTAGACTATCATCCCTTGTCTATGACTTTCCTTCTGATGCTAAGGACCCGGCTCGGCATCCGCTTACAAACAGTTAAAATGATAACTTTTATGTTATAAATATGTTATCAAATTTTTCTAAATAACTCCTAAAAGAACAGAATAAAACAATCATTATAGAACTAGGTTGATGTGTTTATAATGTATAAAAATGCAATTTGTATGACAATAATTACGCAAAGTGTTGAGGAAATGGAGCTGTGTTGGAGTAGTTTCTATATGTCATTCCCATTAAGTTAGTATTGATTCAAAGTAGATTGTTTTAAGTGAAGATGCTAATTGTAACTCCAGGGCAATCACTGAGAAAACAACTTCAAAACGATAGTGAAGAAACAACAAAGAAATTAAAAGAGTATATTAGAAAATATCTATTTAACACAAAGTCAGTAATAGCGGAAAGAAGAAAAAAGGACAGAAAAAAATAGCAAAATGGCAGATGCAAATCCTGCCTTAATGGTAATTACATTAAGTGTAAATGGGTTAAACCCTACAATTAAAAGGCAGAAGCTGGCAGAATGTATTACAATAAATGACTAAACTATATGCTGTCTACAAGACGTACTTCAGATTCAAAGACACAAAATGTTGAAAGTAAAAGGACAGAAAAATGCATACTATGCATACATTAACCAAAAGAGAGCTGAAGTGGCTGTACTAATATTAGACAAAATAGACTACAAGACAAAAATTCTTACTAGAGACAAAATAATTCATGTTCTTTAGGCAGGATCTCTGTAAACAAAGCCCCCCCCCAAAATACACATACTTATCGTCACTCCAGAAGTTTCTCCTGGACACTGATGTTTAGGAACAGGTGGTGGATGTAGTAGGCCCATGGAGGATTGAATCTTGCCTACACTTTCTTTTAAAAGTGTTTGAATTTATTGTTAACATTTGAAAATCAAGAGACCGACATAACAGCCAAACTTGCTGCTTTTCATGTAAAGACTGGCCACACTGGGTCTGCATTTCTGCTTCATAATTTTGGCTCCAACTGAAAGCAGGCTTCCTCTTTAGATGGATCTGTTGTTTAATTCTCCATAGTTCTCCTCTGGAAGAGACTTGGAGCTTGGCCAAGCCAACACTCTCCTCCACCCTTACTATCCAATCTCATTTCATAGATGGGGAAACAGACTTACCAAGGCAGGAGATTGCCAAGGCTGGCACAGGGAGGCTCAGGCAGGATCAGGTCCTCTGCTCCTAGTCACCATCCCCATCTCTCCATAGCACTAGTCAGTCTTACCATAAAGAAGCAGACATGCTGCCTTTGAACTCTTACCATCTGAGTTGGGCTAATCTGGGCTCCTCTTTCACCCTTCCCTGTAGCCTAGGGTCTGCAAATCCTTGCTCCCCTATCAAAACCATTTTTGGAGACCTCAACAATCAAGTAACAGAGTTGTATGGATGGCAGCAATTCAGGGAGGGTACTGACAGGAGAACTTGAATTTTAACAGATCCAGTGTGAGCTGAATGAGTAGTTGAGATTCTAATGCTAGAATTTCAGGCACGGGCCAGGGAATTGGGGATATACATTCATACATATATTGTGGAGGGAGGCACACTGAATATTCCCACTAGTGCTGAATCGTAATCACACTGTAAAGAGAAGTGTCATTCAAATTATTTCAGCTGCAAAACCCTTTCTTCAAATGAAATGACTAATGGGATTTTAATATATATAAAGTAATCAGGAAAGTTCCATGATTTGGTGAGAGTGGGGACCAGGAGCTGGATTCACTCCACTTCCCCTTGCAGTAGACTCTCCCGATGGACTGTGCCTTCCTCTCAGCACAGCTGGAGTAGAGAGTCCCATGCACCATTGCCAGGGTCCTGTAGCAAGTGCATGCCATGGCACGTCTCTGCTATTTTCAGATAAGCTTCAGAGCTTGCTCAGCCACATGCAGGCACATTCCAGAAGTGTGGGGAATTGAACACCTCTGAAGGTGACCCACTACCAGTGGGGCTGGAATTGGCCCTACCACCTTTTTGGAGGGACAATTCTAAAGTGTATTCCATACAGTTCTTCAGAGAGTGCCTTGCAGGATGAAGCCCCAGTTGCCCATAGTAATTGTCTCAGCCTGTTCAGGCTGCTGTAACAAATTCCAGAGACTGGATGACTTGTCAACAACAGAAATTTCTTTCTCACAGATATGGAGGCTGCAAGTTCAAGATCAGTGTACCAGTTTGGTCGGGTTCTGGTAAGGGCCCTCTTTCAGGTTGCAGACTACTGACTTCTCATCGTGTCCTCACAGGCAGAAAGAGTAAGGGAGTTCCGTGTAGTCTCTTTTCTAAGGGCACTAATTGCATTCACATCCTAAAGATCCCACCTCCTTGTAATACCATCACAACGGGGGCTGAATTTTAACATTTGAATTTGGGGTGGAACGCAAACATTCAGTACATAACAGCAATCCACTTATTAACACATACTTTATTGACATTACTCTGTCCGTGTCACACTTCATCTCCTTCACTCTGCCTCCTTGGATCACTTTCCAAATCAAGTATTGCCACCCAAGCTTTTGCCTTAGGTTCTGCTTTCAGGGGAATCCAAACTAAGACATCTAACCACTGCCCCCAACGTGCCTCCCAGATGCTTGCCAGGGCTCCTCCATATGGCTGACAAC